CGCCGGACAGGTGTTTCATCTTAGCCTGGGACTCCTCAGCAGTGCCTACCAGGGCTCGAACTCAAAACACTCAGGTTTCGAGGCCATCACGTTGCCATCGAGCCACTATATTGGGATTAAGTAGTTTAAACTTTACTACCTATCTCAGCTTGCAATATAGCATGCCTTTCTTTTATTGTTATCATTGGGTAACTGGGTCCTGGATTTGAGCCCTGGTGAGGTAGTCATGGGTGTGCATTGCTGATGATTCCTCTGACAGGACGAAAGAGAGACGGAGTAGCTGACTAATAACAGTTTACTTTTGTTATCCAAAATCTACTGTAGCGTCTTCAACCCGACTAAACTATGACATGCTCAACTGAAAGTTTTAAGTTTTAGTGAAAACAGACATCCATAATGTTGAGTGAGTACTCATACTTTCTAGGATTATAAGTTATTGGTTCAGGACTTATATGATTTATCGATGCAGCAGAAGGCACAGTTGCCAAATAGTTTATTCCACTTGCATCAATGGGATCATACATGTGGTATGCATCTGTGTGGGAAATTCTTTGTTTGTGGTATAGAACAATTTTGGGTAGTGATTTTGTTTTCAAATACATAACATACTTTGTTGATAAAGGTCAACTGGATTAAAATTTATCACCGGAACAGTTTGCTGACCACCTTCAAGAAGTATGAATCATTATTAGATTAAATTGCAATGCTACACTAAGCATCGTCATACAACAGAACATAGAATGAATAGCAGTCAATTACATCTTTACCTCAACTTCATCCACTTTGAAAAGACATTCCAGAGTGTCAACCAAGAAGTAATTTGCCAGCTGCTTCAACACTACAGCTTTACTGCCACAAACCTTTATCGAAATCATTCAACAGCTATATGATGATGATGATGATGATGCTACATGCCAAGTGATTGACAATGGAATGCTCAGTGATGCCTTTGAAGTGAAGACAGGAGACAGAAGTAAGACAAGACTGCCATCTACTACCACCAATCATCGTCCTGATTGTGGTCGACTCGACTCGACTCAACTCAACTCAACTTGATTCGACTGGATCATGCAACAATCAACTGTGAGGAGCGAGAAGATGGGAATACAGTGGCTGGACTGATGGCAAGACCCCAGAAGAAGATTTGCATTTTGCCACCGATGATGATCACTTATGTCTAATGTCTTGTCTCACAAACTCGAAGATCTACAGGTGAAAACTAACAAGTTTGTAGAAGAGGTGAGGTGAGGTGAGGCGAAGCAACGAAGGAAGACGGGACTTCTATCAAGTGAATGCAGAGAAGACAGAGGTGATGAAGATACATAACCAACAACAACAAGCACCAATCACCATGAACGGGAGAAATGTAAAGGAAGTCATCTCTCTCACCCACCTACCTACTACCTTGGAAGCATCGTTTCAACTACAGGTGATGGTGGCGACACACGCACAGATGAGGATGTCAAAGCAGTCAGGATTGGAAAGACAGCAAGACAGGCATTCCTGCATTAATCTGAAATAATCAGTGTGCAGATGTACTGCACTGCACTAGACTGCACTATACTACACCACACCACACTGATCATAAAGCGTGAACAACATCCGGATTTTCAACACGAATGTCAGTCGAGTAAGGCAGTGCTTGTGTGTGGTGGTTGAGAGAGTTGGCACCATACGAAAAGCATTTCCAACAAACTACAGACATGCATCCTATGAACAGCTGCTGCCTACGCTCACTGACTCACTGACTTGATACTGAAGATGGAGATCAGATGATGAGAATGATGAGAATGAGCAAGGAGGAAGTCTGACTGGCTGGTAACGAGCCAACCAACGGAGAACCTATCGGTCAACAAATATGCATTGGAAGAAAGTGGAGATGGATTGGATTTGATTGGACATAGACTGAGAAGATGGTTTAGGGAAATCACGCATCAGGCCAGGACAGGCTGTCGAGTAGAAGCCGAATGAGAAGCGACGAGTTGGGCGCCTGAGTTGAGGGTGACATGGAGGAGATGGTGTGAGGAAGAAATGAAAGCAGCTTTTGCGGTGTGGTGTAGCCAGGTTGAAGGGACTGTAGAGAAGAGAGTGAAATGGTGATATGCTACTGGAGGTCTGTGTTCCACTAGGAACCCGAAGAACAAATAATAATAATAATGATAGGAGTCAATAAACACTGAATCGAACGGAGCTTATGCATCTAATAACAAGAGGGTTATACGGTTTCTGTATTCAATGTTAGTTGATTAGAGGTAATCGGTATGAAGATCTGGTCAACCGAAGTTTCGTGTTAACTGAAAGATGTCAGCGACACTTATGTGTAAGTTCCTTGAGAGATTCAAGCTCTCTTGATGGAGAATTGCAGTGAAGGATGTTTCCACTGAACTATGATGGTTGAAACTAACCTCTTGTAGGATTGACTACATACAGTACATTGATTCGTCATTCGATAGTAACCAACTTCACGTTCTTTAATCTTTCACGCCTATCGAGTTATATCTATTTGTTTTTTCATCAATACTTTCATCAACCATTTAGAAATAAACTCTTCATGATTTTAAACATACATTATACCAGTTAGTTACTTAAAAGCTACCGAATTATCAATGATGATAAGAAGATGATTATTTAAAACAAAAAGTCTTTGAAACTCAACTTTTGTTTGATGGACGTTTCTAAGTCATTCGAGATACCATTGTCACTGTACTGCTCTGAGAAGTTGTACATATAAATGTACATGTAAAATGTTTTATCAAATACTCTTTTGAATAAAGTTCAGATTTGATTATAAATAGGGTGAGATCATGCATACCCATTGCTGAGAAGTACCATTCTAGGATGAAATAGCTATTTAATGCTTCATGATTTTCAATGGTTCGCTTTCAGTTGATATCAGTTGATGAAGAATACCAACTTGTCAAAGTTCAGGCATACACACCTTTCATGAGATTTCCATGAAGTTTATAAATGATACCTGAAGTTGTTTTCTACGTTTATCGATCAGATGTTCTAACATATAGATGTGTACGCGTCTAGAAAGTAAACGTTGAATACGGTCAATATGACTTCCTGCACACATATCAAGATGGTCAAAGCAGCTAGTTTATTCTTGATGCATAATTCAAGCATTGGATGAGCTTGATAGCATAAAAACGTCTTTCTCAGTGAGGATCTAGGATAGTTTACTGTCTACATTGAACTATAAGCCCATGAAAACAGCCTTCTTAGTAGTTATATAAATGGAATGATTATTAGGTTTAGTAATGAAATGCTCACCAAACTGGTTTTCATTCAAAACATTTTAGCGAAAACTAAGTTCGTCTTCAATGTATTGGGATTGCAGAGAGTGTGGAATAAGATTTCGTCTCGTGTATAGAGGCAGTTATTATTATCATTATTATTTGTCCCTTGAGTTCCTAGTGGAACATACGGCTTCAGGAGCACGTCGCCATCCCACTCTCTTCTCTGCAATCTTTTGAACCTGGCTCCACGACTGCCCACAAGCTCCGATTTCTTCCTCACACCATCTCCTCCATGTTATCCTCAGCTGAAACGCCCAACTCGTCGTTTCCTCTTTGGATACCACTTGAGTGCCTGGCCTGGGAGTGATGTCCCCGAGTGGTCTTCTCAGTGTATGCTCAATCCATCTCCACTTCCTTCCAGTGCACATTTCTTCAGCGATATATTATTGGTTAGTTCGTTCCTAGAGTTCATTGTTGCTTATTCTTATTATTCTGGCCATCTCATCCTCAGTAACGTGCCAGAGTAGGCGGCAGTTGTTGATGAATATCTGTAGTTCGATGGAAATCCCTTTCGTAAGGCACCAAGTCCCTCAATCATCATATCGAAGCACTGACTTGACTGAATTGGTGTTGAAAGTCGGGATCTTGTTCTCTGTGCTGAGTGCAGTCGATCTCCACACTGGTTTCACTTCAATGAACACCTGTGTTGCTATCTCTCCGATCCTGACTGGCTTTGACATCCTCGTCTGTGCCTGTGGCGCCTGTAGTTGAAATGATGCTGCCTGCCTAGATAGATGAAAGAGGCTACTTCCTTTAAGTTCCTCATGTTGATGGTGATTGGAGCTTGTTGTTGTTTATAGTGGTGGTGGTGTTGTTGGTTGGGTATCATCATCACCTCTGTCTTCTCTACATTCACTTGAAGTCCTGTCTTCCTTTGCTGCCCTGTCTCTTCTGTCAGCTTATTAGTTTTCGCCTGTAGACCTGCAAGTTTGTGTTATATTAGACACAAGTCATCATTGGCGAAATCCAAATCTTCTAGTCTGTTTTCATCAGTGCAGCCAGCATATGCCCCTCTTCTCTCTCCTCACTGTTTGCTGCATGATTCAGTCCAGTCGACCACAATGAGGAAGCTTTGTGTCATTCCTGTCTCCTGTCTTCACTTCAAAGGCATCACTGTTCTTTCCATTGTGAGTTACTTGTTATGTGATGTCTTCATATAGCTGTTGAATGAGGTTGATAATAGTTTGTGACAGTAAATCGGTAATGTTGAAGCAATTACCAAGTTACTTCTCGTTCGACGCTGTGGAAAGCCTTTTCAAAGTCGATGAAGTTGAAGTTGAGGTTGAGTTGACTTGACTGCCATTCTATATTGTGTTGTGTGATGATGGGTATTGTAAGGTTGCAATTTGATCGGCATATGATTTGTTCTTTCTGAGGTCAGCCAGCCTGTTTCGCTGGTAGTTTTGAATGCAGCACATCCTTTAGTCTCTCTAGGATAATGCGGCTTATTATTTTGCTTGCTTGTGGTGGACAGGATAGTAATTCCGCGCCAGTTCTTGCAAACACTTAGGTCTCCCTTCTTCGGGAGTTTGACAATGTAGCATAGAGGCACTGGACTATAAACGTTTGTAAGTTGTCTATTTCATATGGATTTTTTCTTTAGATAAATTTTTCAAGTAATCCATTATTTCATCCCTTCTTTAATGTTGAACCTGATTGAAAGATGACAGTTATTATTAATATTTCATTTTGCTTCAGTTCTGGATCAACGAATATTTGGTCAATATCGGTGTATATTCAGTTTCTCAAAATCCGAACATGCTGTAGCCACAGTTCATTTGAAAGGTAATTTAAAGCAAACATTATTACTGATAGATTTTTATACGATAACGGTCTACTTTATGGGTATACTAAATTTCATGTTTTGATTGGAAAACACTTAATATAGGTAACGAATATTTATATAGGCGTGCAGCGTGTGAGATTTGAATCAGCTTATCTCAGTACAACAACCACAGGTGAGACACTATCATTATATTTTGTCTCTTGGATTCTTAGTGGAACATAGAGCTCTAGTAACACGTCTCTATTGTACTCTGTTCTCTCCAGTCTTTTCAACCTAGCTTCACCACTCCGCTCAACCTTTCATTCCTTCCTCACATTATCTCCTCCTGCATGCCACTGTCAGCTGAGATACTCAACTCATCGTTTGCCCTTTGGATTCCACTCAAGGACCTGGAACGTGATGTCCTCAGTCTGCATTCTCAGTGTATGCCCAGTCAATCTCCAATTTCTTCTGTATGTCTGTTGAGTGATAGGTTCTTGGTTGGTTCATTGCCAGACCAGAGTTTCTCGTTGCTTATTCCTACTGTTATGGCCATCTAATCTGTCCCTGTGCCACCACCGTCACCTGTATGCAAGACGATGCTGCCCTGCCTAGGTAGATGGGTGAGAGAGATGACTTCCTTCACATCTCTCTCGTTCATGGTGATTGGTGCTTGTTGTTGTTGGTTATGTATCTTCATCAACTCTGTCTCCTCTGTGTTCATGTGATGGAAGTCCCGTCTTCCTTCTCTGCCAGGCCCCACCTTGCCTCCTCTGTCAACTTGTTAGTTTTCGCCTGTAGATTTTCGAGTTCGTGTGACAAGATATTAGACATAAATCATCGTTGGCAGCAAAATCCAAATCTTTTTCTGGGGTCCTACCATCGATCCAGCCACTGTATTCCCATCTTCTCGCTCCTCACAGTTGATTGTTGCATGATCCAGTCGAATCAAGTTGAGTTGAGTCGAGTCGAGTGGACCACAATCAGGGCGATGATTGGTGATAGTAGACGGCGACCTTATCTTACTTCTGTCTCCTGTATTCACTTCAAAGGCGTCATTGAACATTCCATTGTGAATCACTTGGCATGTAGCATCATCATCATCATCAGACAGCTGTTGAATGATTTTGATAAAGGTTTGTGGCAGTAAAGCTGTAGTGTTGAAGCAGCTGGCAAATTACTTCTTGGTTGACACTTTGGAATGCCTTTTCGAAGTTGATGAAGTTGAGGTAAAGATGTAATTGACTGCTATTCATTCTATGTTCTGTTGTGTGATGGCGCTTAGTGTAGGATTGCAATTTGATGTGTAGATGATTTGTACTTCTTGAAGGTGTTCAGCAAACTGTTCTGGAGTTGCAGGTGGTGGTGTTCGATTCAAGATTTTTTGAAGTGGTCTGCCCATCGTTTGATAACTGGGTTTCCTTCACTATCTTCTATTGGTTTCGTCTGTGTTCATCTCTTTTCAACGCAGACTATGGTGAGAGACCATGGCGCAGATAATTTCTAATTAGGGGATAAGGTTTTTGTTATTGTTTAAAATTTGCGGTCAGTAGTCAGATGTGACTATTTGTCACGGAGTAAGAGTAACTCAAAGCGTGGTTATCTCTGGTATGTGAGTTATCAATAATGCATAGATTTAACTCATCTGGAACCACATGAAGTTCGATATATAATGAGCGTGTAAAGTATATTTCACTCTATCAATTGTCAAAAACGTGTTCTCGTTCCAAATTTGAATACTATGATTTATCGTCTGGAACTGATTCAGTCAATAAATGATAATATAATGACCATATGACTTTAAACTCTCAGAGTCGAACCAGTAGGTTATCAGTAATTCAGTTATTACATACTTTCTAATTTACAAATCGTTAATTTTCTACTGAAATCAATCAGTCATGAAACTTACTAACCAATTAACTGATCAATGTCCAATGAACTGTAGCATTGAACATCTAACGTTGCTGATTATTCACATTCCCATTATCTAAATGTGAAGAAGACATGTAAGCAAACATTATTGTTCCCAGTTAGTTCTTATCAGACTTTATGCTAATATGTATACATTTCCTCATGCATAAAACACTGTACCAGCCATGATGGATTCTTCAGTATGTGGTAACCAGGACATGAAGCAAGTATATTGAAGGTGTCTAGACAATATTATTACTAATAATACTAGTGATGCATATTGGCTAGCAGTGAAATCGAGGATGCGCGTTTTGTACTTATTGGGACTTATCAGTTGGATGTATCTGTCTTCCAGTGAACGATATTGTTCCCAACGGGCCTGGAACTGGGAATGCCAAAGCATTATGTAATAGGCTGCTGAGTCACGATAACCAATTCTTGTGCAACGAGTGTAGCTTCAATATGGTTGCTTGTATTATCCTATCGTTGAGTGCACTGGATCGGTCGATCTGTGTTGGCATATTGGTTCCTATGTGGATGCTTCGAAAAGGTGAAGAAAAAGGAAAATTTTCGCTTGCTTAAAAAATTGCTCGCAAGTAGTTTGGAAAGGATGGTTACTGAGTGGACTCCCATCCCACAATTGGGGGCGGAAAAGCCGGGGCAAAAAGCCATTTATCTTTGTTACTGAGGGTGGGCCGGAAAGGACGGTGGACCAATGCAACAGGGCATTAACACACATTATCCTCATCTTAACAACGCTATACCGAATCTCACTATTTTGTCACTTCTCTTTCCTTTCTTCTCGTACTTTATATTTCTTTTGACTGCATTCACTTATCTTCATCCTTCATCTCACTACCTTTTTACTTGATGTGCTGATATGAGGTGTGGCAACTCGGACCGTTACGCAGTAATGCCTGGTCCTATGTTGATACTGATGATGAAGCCATCAATAAGATTTTCTCTGGTCAAGGTAGAGATTAGGCTTGCGCAAGCTTTTTCTCTAATTCTCATAGCCTTCTCTTTTCCACACATGTTTATTTGCCTAGACTTTGATTATCTACGTATATTATCATTCGGTAATTACGAAACTTATATTTCCTCTAAGTTTCGACCAACATTGATTGTTTAAATGTTTGTAGTACCGTACCGTCCCCATTCTTATTATCATCATTAAGATAATTATTATTTACCATTAGATAGAAGGTGTGGCAATCGGTTCACCATAAGGTCCTCTTCTACTTGATATGTTTATGGCGAAATTATAAAGTGAACCTCTACGTAACTGCACTTTTATTGTAGATACATGAATGATACTTTTATTCTGTACAGAAATGATACTAATCCTAACATTCTTTTGGATACATTCAACAATGTTCATCCAGAAATCAAGTTCACATGTGAAACAAAGAAAGGTGGATGTCTGTCATTTCTTCATGTTTTCCTATCAAAACAGACGAATGGCAGTACCAGATACCGTATTTATCATAATAAATCATGGGTCTGTCAGTATACACATTTCCAATGATTTTTATCCCTTACGTACAAAAAGAATTCAATCCATACACTGGGACCTTCGAGACAGTAAAATGTGTACAGTTGATACTTTGAACGATGAATAAAGAATAATAGAGAACTCCTTATATCAGAAGGGTGATCCTGAAAAGTTTGTAAGGACTGTAATAATGAATAAAGCTAGAGAAAAACGGTTTCAAGTGGTGTTAAAGAAACCAATGTATCTAATTGTAGAGTTGAAAAGAGAAACAATTGAAAAAACTCAAAAATTTGATAGCCAAAATCTTCTTTGCTACTACAGTATATTTGAAATTTACTACTTACTGTATGATACCAATACAGTTGAAGGATAAGCCTCCGAATCTGGTCACATCTGTATACATTTATAAATTTAATTGCTTATATGAAGATAGTTATATAGGTAGAACAACTCAGTAAGCCCATCATCGTTTCATTGAACACTATTCAGCGTGGTTGGGCAAAGGAACAGTGAACTTCATGAAAAGTTTCATAGTCGCCCATCTTGTAGATACTGAGCATAAGATTGACAAAATCTCAGCATTTACTATAATTTATAAAAGTCCCATCACAATACTGCAAGTTTGTGCGTCTCTAATTCCTATGCATAACAGAAAAGATACTAACTGAAGCTTTCATACGTAATTCATGTTTTCAGAAGATGTTTATTCATTCTCTTTCCTTATACTGAGTGATGATTGAAAGTGACCACGACAGGATTCCAACCAGCAACCACTGGATTCTCAGCTCGATGCTCTACCAACTGAGCTATGAAGTCTGACTACCATGTGAATTCATGAGCATCATATTGATTTTCATTTCACGTTTAATCATCACTCAGTAACCATATAAACCTCCCAAAGCACTGACTGTATCTCAGATAGTCAAATGATAATCAATATGGTACTCTCCCACCCATCTAATTCAGTTACATTGGGATTGGCATGAGAAGTCCTGACTAGGCAGTAGCCAGTGTGAATAGAATCAGGCAATAGTAGCATATCATGAACTCACATGGTGATTGAAGTGAAATTCAGATCTAATCGGACCTCGTAGCTGAGGTGGTAGAGCCTGAGGCCGCGAAACCCGCTAGTCGCTAGTTCGAATCCGTCCGCGGTCCAAATTTTCATTTTATCTTCAATCTTCAGCTAATATCTACACTAATTTAGAAGTAGTATTCATCATGGACTGATGTCAGTTGGGGAACCATTGAACCATTGATGCTAACTGAAGACCTAGGGTGATAGTCACACTGTGTCGTGTCGTGAATTGACAGAAGTTGGAAATTGTGAACCACTGAACTCTGACTCACAGTGGCTGGATGGTTAACGCGTTCGCCGTGAAACCTGAAGGTGCTGAGTTCGATTCCTGGAGGGTGAGGTGGTGGGTGCGTACTGCTGAGGAGTCTCATACTGGGACGCGACAGGTGTCGAGTGCTGCCAGATTTTCAATGGTTCCCCAACTGACATCAGTTCATTATGAATACAACTTCTCAATTAACAATCCCCATCCATCTCAAAAATGCATTACTCTACATTACTCTACACTAATCTATTCTAATATTTCGCTCTACTTTTAAAAAAATGATTTGCGAATAAAGATAATGTTTTACTCTGAGACTTTTGAAAAGAAAGTATTGAATTTTGAAATAGTGGAGAATATTTGTATTTTGTTCTCTGAGATGGGTTGTTTAATCGTAGAGACGCTTCTATCGTCTTACTAGACGACGTCATCATCACCACTAACTTCAGTATGAAGTAGTGAGCTGTCAATATCTCTGCCTCAGTGGTTTAGTGGCTTGCTCTGAAGATGTGGTCTGCGATTGGTTGTTTCCTTCCATTGTTGTGTCATTGATTGTATAGACTTTCCTGTTGGCTGTTCCTCTGCTTCACCTAAGACTTTTCTGTCGTTCATTATTTTCCTTATTGGTTGATAAATTGGGTCTATGTCTATACATCTCTCCATTGACTGCTGACTGATTGACCGACCTGAATGCCAAGCTTCTAGGAATTCTCTGATATTCTTTGTGTTTCCTCTCTCCTTCGAAGATTTCTACATTGTCACAATTGAATTCATCTCCATAGTTGTGATTCAGGTGCGTTGAAATGAGTGATGAAATGACGTGTGCGATGTTTAATAGCCAGTTGGAGTTCATGTAGACGAAGGTTGAAGATGGCGACCACTCTGTGTCCAATGTGGTGTGTTGACTACAGTCGATTATGTAAATGATATTCAGTTTGTCTTCTTTGGTTGTTGCATCCTTTGGTCTACACGTTAGTGTTCGACGGGAATTTATTGGTTCATGAGCCACACCAATTCCACCAAGTGGTCTCAGTAATCTTGTCGTGATTTTTGATATATTCTTTATGTGTGATAGGACGATGCGTTTATTGATTTCTGTCTATGACTTTGTAGTTGATAATGCACAGGATAGGCATCTTGTGATAAAATTTCGTGGGTGGCCTTTCTTCCTTAGGATGGACATCAAGTAATATTCTTCGTTTCTCCTTGAAGTTGTTGTGCTGCAGTATGTTCTCGCTCTTTTGAATATAGTCTGCATGCAACTGATCTTGTGGGTTGTTACTACTCTAGTTGACGATTCGGTCAGTGTTTGTTGGTTTCCTGTACAGTTGGCTTTCTAGGTTCTCCGTATTTGTTCTATTGACCAGAACATCCAGGAAGGGTAGTTGGTTGTTGACTCCTTCTCCATTGTGAATTTGATGTCACTGAAAACGTTGTTGATCAAATTATGGATGTTTTCTATATCATCCTTTTTAATGATGACAAAAGTGTCGTCCACATAGAGAATCCAGGATTTTGGTTTAATCATAGGTAGAATGATAACTTCTAGTCTCTGCATCACTGCTTCTGTAATTATTCCGGATATCGGTGATCTCATTGGAGTTCATTTCATCTGTTTGTATATCTTGCCATTGAATTGGAAGTATGTTGTCAGACAAAGGTCGATGACTTCTATCAGACTTCAACGTTTAAGTTTTTTGCGTTCCGTAAGGCTTGTGTCTTCATTGAGCAAAAGATCAGCAATCAACAGATGTGTAGACACAGACCCAATCTATCAACCAATAAGAAAGGTGATAAACGACAGAAACGTAAGAGGCCAAGCAGAGGACAGCCAATAGGAAAATCTATACAGTCATTCAATGACACAACAATCAAAGGAAACAACCAATCACACACAAACCAGTTCGCCGAGGTAGGCACCTACTAAATCACTCAGTCAGGGAGACATATTGATAGGTCACTTCATACTGAAGTTAGCACTGATGATGTCGGTGTCTAGAAAGACAATGAAAGCGTCTCCACAATTAAACAATCCACCTTCTCAGAAAAAACAATACAACCAAAAGTATTGAATTCTTAAAAAACGGAGCTTCATTTGTTTGTTTTAAATAAAGAAATTGATCAACACTGACTGAATTGTAAAACAATAAGGTGAACAATAATAACAATAACTTTCATTATTCATTATCTCTTAGTTTTTAATGTTTTCCCTACAATATATTCATGGATACTATATGGTTACTAATAAGCGTTGCTAAGATACAATAAAGAAAATAGTTGATCAGGTGGGTTAAAATCATTCAATAGTATATTTACCCTTAATGAAAAATATCATTCAATCTGGATCATCATATAATGAGTGCAGATTTATCAACTTAACAAAAAAAATGATTGATATTGATTGATGATTGAGAGTAAAATGATATTCTAGATGACAATAGGACTCAAATCATTGATATTCAAGTTACTATTCCGGTAATATACTAAATAAGCTTTGGAAGTCATCTTTATTATCAAAGGCACTTTAATATAAGAGTAGAACTTGTGCATTGTGGTAGAATATAATCCCATTTTTATTGATTTATTAAAAGTATCCTACAGTGAAGGAATAGTATTGTTTACTGGACAACGTTTCGGACACAATTTATCTCACATAGTCATATGAAGACGGCTAACTCTACAACATTGAAACATCCTTTATATAGTCCTAATTTCCTTACCCCGTTTGTGATATGGGTAAGAAGATTTTCCAGGTACTGAGTCATTCTTGTTGCTGCATATATTAGGTGTTGGCTGATTCGATAAACAAAGATTCGGTGTTTATCAATCTCTCCCTCCACCCTGCTATATCAGTTTTAAGGATTTTCACCCTGTCCCATCCATCCTATTATGTATGGTTGTGTATAATTGGATACATAGTTATGGCTGAACTATTTTCTAAATCCTTTATCATCTTATTAGGATCTAAAGAAACTTCAAAGCAAAAACTCATCAACAACACGCATCTGTAACTTCAACGCAACTGATATTCCACTTGAGATTCTGTTCTGCGTTATTCAATGCTGCAGTCACGTCGCAATCGACCACCTGTAAGACTAGATTTGGTACATCGAATAGCCGCTCGAAGGTAACCAACTTCACCTAATCCCATTCTACAGCAGCTCAGTGGTAACGTCATATATACTCATATATCTCTTCAGCTTAAAAAGAGCGAGGTTCAAGTTAGTATGAATCATAGAGTGAGATCATTTGGAAGGAACCATTAACAATTCAAAAACATTGGACAGACGTTACATCCTGGCATAGGAATTGTGAGCAACGCGCATTGAACCCTAAACCTTTGGGGTTGCTTAGTGAGCACGTTACCATTGAAACATTGAATTAGAATTCATGATTCAATTTGGTCTCTCTTTTTAATTTTAAATACTTTTAATTTAATTTTCAAATTTTTAGTACCGCCAATTTTACGCTTGGTATATGATCCTCCACCAATTCCACCTTTGAATTCTCCGGGTAATTATACATGTCTAACAAATGATACGTGTAAAACACCAATTTATGAAGATGATTCAAAGGTCAATTGGACAAATGCTTGTGAAATTCTTATTGCTTATCCATTAGTTAAATCTGGAAATTTAATGTGGGCATGGACTCAACCTCAATGGGCAGCATATATAATTCGTAGAGTTGAAGAAGTGGGTAAAGCAAATGTATTATCTGATTTTTCAGTATTACTCAACAATGATGATGAAATGCATAGTTATGGACCATGGCAAGTATTAGAACGTAGACGACGTAGATCAAATGATGTAGACATTGACTTTGAAAAACCAGATCTTGTTAAATCTGGTCCAATTCTATTTTGGTGTTGGGCTAAAAATGATATTGGAGAGACAACTACCTGGTGGCCTGGTCCTGTTGAAGACTATGGTTATTCAAGTAAGTAATATTGAAATATTTATCAATCATTTAACTCTGTGGTATAGACAAGCAGATAAGTAGACATGAACTCAGGAAAGCAGGCAGACAAAAAAGGCTAGATAGATGTTCAGACAGGTAAGTAAACACAACAATGTACAACTGTTATACAAAATTGTATCAGATCAAACTGTTAGTATTCCAGACAGTACAGAAAGCGGAAATTGCAAATGACAAACGTTAACTGACCAATAGAAGGGGAAGATTAGTTTTATCGATAAAAATGTGCTCAAGACAATACGTGAACACATCTACAATACTATAATCTCTATTGAGTTACCTTATCCAGCTTCTCAACTCAATGATTTCGTGCATTTCAGAAAACCTCAATAGGACATACGAAGTTTTAGGCGGAGCAAATAACATTTAGAAGCTCGATAATTAGTTATTAAAATAGACTGTAAGTGGAACAATCGTTACTGATGTTACTCATAACTTGATACTAGTTCATTCATCAAGAAAATGATCATCATGTCAGCTTCTGTAGGCATGCTATTCACATTTATGACCCTTTAACTAGTTGAGTCAACTTTTTAGTGATTAGTAAGCAGTCCAGCACTTGCATTTTGTCCTCTTCAGGACTCATCATCTGCATCGTGATGTGTATCCTCGTATACCCACTGTTTCAAGCACTGAACGTAATCCACTAGGCTAGGAGGGCTGAGAGCCTTTTTATCTTTTGAAACAGATACTAGTTATTATTATTGTATGAACCTGTAATTTCTCGTTGTTAAGCTGGGTCAGATTGATCGAATTCTGTTGGGATATGGGATCGTGTACGTTTATCTTCATACTACCAGAATATTCACTCTTATAGTTTACTTGATGATGATGAATAACGCTTTACTGTTTGTAGTAATGGTTACGAGGTTCGAATCTTAATGGGATGCATGTACATCCAGCTGATGAGTCCTAAATAGAAGGAAACGTGCATCTTAGATCCTACTTTTAGCCACCACTAATTAAATTAATATGGAGGCATTCCAACAGGAACGAAAATACCATGGGAGGTTGACCAAGTATCGCCAAACAACCTTTCATTAGTTGATATTATATGGACATCTGAGAGAGACTGTCAGTGGAGGTATCGATAAGAATGCATATTAAATTGACAGGATTTAGGATAAGAAAACAAGCTGTTTCATATTTTCAGCTCATCTACCGCACTCCACTACTGTCATGAATATTCTGTAATATATTCAATGCAAGTAGAATCAAATGGGTTGAACATCATGAACTTATTTAATTGGATAATGCTTAAGGTCATTGTATTAACTCTTGAAATAACCAATCGGAATTTTGTGTTTCTCACAGGATGGTAGATCCCTATGAGATGAAGGAATCTGATTGGTTATTTCAGTAGTTATCAGGACGACCTTGAAACCCGTTCAAGTGTCGGTGGTTTCAAGGTCACATCTTAAATTATGTGGCAGTCGAGCATGTTTAGTTATTAAATGGATAAACCAACTTTCTAGACGAAATTGAGAAGTCTGATTGGTTATTTCACTTGGAAATTGAAACATACATCTTTTATATTGAGCAATAGGGCTACAAAAATGGGTTAAAGAAAACAGAAAGATGATAAGTAAAAATATCACGAATGAAATTGACGATGGCGTAAAATGCCTATTTTTAAATAATTGCGGTAAAATTCCTGAGTTCTGAATAGATGGTGAACATTTGAGCAACACAGTAGTGAGGAAACCAATCGGCGCAAAGTAATTCGGTGAAGAATATCCGCTTTACGATAAACCTATTTTAATCAATAGCTTTACAATCGCAAAGAAATTTTGTATAACGTGAATAGGTAGAAACCACTAAGGAGACCCATAGATTTAACTTGTCAAAGCCGAGTGATCTAAACATTGTAGAGGCGTTTACCCCGTTTGGCGTCAAGCTCGTCACCTATGTACTGAGATATTCTTTGTAGACAATTTATAAATTGCATGGTTCATGTTCCTTCTATCACCGATGATCTTCTCGATTATGGTCAACTTCGCTCGACTGGGTCATGCAACATTCAACTATGAGGAGCAAGCAGACAGGCATACGCTGGCTGCACCGATCATATGATCCTAGAAGATTTGCATTTGGCTGCCCATGACGACCACCTATGTCTAATGTCTTGTCTCACAAACTCGAAAATCTACAGGAGAAAACTAACAAGTTTGTAGAAGAGGCGAGGTGAGGTGAGAAGAAGCAACGAACGAAGACGGGACTTCCATCAAGTGAACTCAGAGAAGACGGAGTTGATGAAGATACATAACCAACAACAACAAGCACCAATCACCATGAACGGGAGAAATCTAAAAAAAGTTGTCTCTCGCACCCACCCAACTACCTGCCTACCTACCTACCTACCTACCTACCTACCTACCTACACCTAGGAAGTATCGTTTCAACTACAGGTGATGGTGGCGACACACGCACAGATGAGGATGTCAAAGCAGTCAGGATTGGAAAGACAGCAAGACAGGCATTCCTGCATTAATCTGAAATAATCAGTGTGCAGATGTACTGCACTGCACTACACTGCACTATACTACACTAAACTACACCACACTGATCATAAAGCGTGAACAACATCCGGATTTTCAACACGAATGTCAGTCGAGTAAGGCAGTGCTTGTGTGTGGTGGTTGAGAGAGTTGGTACCATACGAAAAGCATTTCCAAAAGACTACAGACATGCATCCTATGAACAGCTGCTGCCTACGCTCACTGACTCACTGACCTGATACTGAAGATGGAGATCAGATGATGAGAATGATGAGAATGCGCAAGGAGGAAGTCTGTCTGGCTGGTAACGAGCCAACCAACTGAGAACCTATCGGTCAACAAATATGCATTGGAAGAAAGTGGAGATGGATTGGATTGGACATCAAAGTTTTATGAGTCGATGAAATATACCACAGAACTACATGGACAGTGAGAAACCGCTCACGATGATCCGTCAATTTCGCTAACCGGACGACCGTTTCGCTTGTCCAAAGCCTTGATTACCAGCTATATATCTCAACAAACTGAGCTGGTATAGTGAAATTGTTCAGACCAATCAAAGTCATAATAACAACAAGAAAGTAAGTCAATTATTGGCTATTTATGTCATGGTTAGGTCAAGGAGAAGGAATGTTCTAGAAGAAAATGTAACTAGTTTCTAAATTTTGAAAGATGAATACTGAATCAGTGACGAAAACCGGAGAAAGTTTTTGATCATGGCCATATTTCTTCCGTACACAGGGATCAGGTTTTATTTGCTCGATTACCAAAATCTCCATTGATGATTGCGTACGTCTTTTGTGGAGTTCAGTTTAACTTCCTGTGGAATTTTCAAATAAGACCGATAGTAATAATGAATATTGAGTAAGAGTGAAGTCCAGGGCGTGCATTTTAGCCATAAGCGTATATCGCTTTAGCGGTTGAAACAATTAGTAATGGTTTCGATTCTCAGTGGGAACAACAACACTTCACACTGGGGTGAAGTTACACTCATTTAGCTAGTGAGTCTTAAATAGGATGGAATTAGCGTTTTGAATTCTTCTATAAGTCACCAAAATGAAGGTGAATCGATTTAGCATAGTGAAGCAGGATTGGATTTCGTTACTTATTAATTATTCTAAAGGTGACTGTTACCTCCACTTCGTCTCCTTACCTGGTGAATTCTCTGGTAAATAATGCATATCTCTTTAGTCGAAGATGTTTCAGAATATACTTTGAGAAGTGAACATGAGCTTATTTGCCTTCTGAACATATACTGAATACTTACACAGTGATCATCATAAATTTGTATCACAAAAAGTGATATTGTAAAACTGAAAACCAACGTATAACCTTTTATCAATTTGGCTATCTTAGTTAGTTGCAGTGTGGGAGACATTTATTATTGGTACTGGGTAATAATAATAGTGTTAATAAACAGGCAGCCTCCAAATTATTGGCTCACTGCCAAACCAAATCAGCTGCAAGTGACAGCTGATAGGTAAATCTTAGTTTTACTTCAATCAATAAGAGTTTTGCCCGACTGCTATATGGGCTTATGATGCTTTTGAATCTTGTCGTGACCTTCAGTCATTACTCAGTATTGAAAATACATATGTGACAAATAATGGCCATCTCAGATGATGAAAATAATACCCATTATGATGCTGTTCATCTTTAATTCAAGTTGATTTACATTGGGATAAGACGTTCTAGTTGATTAGTCAGTGTGGATACAATTAACGAGCGATAATGCATTGCAGTTGGGCAAAACTCTTGTTGATTGAAGTGAAATAAAAGTCTGATTTGCAGTTGGTTTTTATAGTTCAATCGGTAGAGAACTAGGTCAGAAACGCGGAGGTCCTTGGCTGAAATGCTATCACAATCCAGATAAACATTTTTTTCTCTTTTTTGAAACACAGTAGGAATGTCAACCGGTAGCCTTAAGAGGACTGACCGAGGAACGCCAGTTTATTTTCATATTGTTTTATTTCTTTTTGGTTATGTATCTTCATCACCTCTGTCTTCTCTGTGTTTACTTGATGGAAGTCCCGTCTTCATTCGTTGCTTCGCCTCACCTCACCTCGCCTCTTCTACAAACTTATTAGTTTTCGCCTGCAGACGAGACATTAGACATAAGTGATCATAATCGGTGGCAAAATGCAAATCTCCTTCTGGGGTCTTACCATCGGTCTAGCCAGCGTATATTCATCTTCTTGCTCCCCACACTTGATTGTTGCATGATCCAGTCGAATCAAGTTGAGTCGAGTCGAGTCAACCACAATCAGAACGATGATTGGTGGTAGTAGATGGCAGTCTTGTCTTACTTCTGTCTCCTGTCTTCACTTCAAAGGCATCACTGAGCATTCCATTGTCAATCACTTGGCATGTAGCATCATCATCATCATCATCATATAGCTGTTGAATGATTTTGATAAAGGTTTGTGGCAGTAAAGCTGTAGTGTTGAAGCAGCTGGCAAATTACTTCTTGGTTGACACTCTGGAATGTCTTTTCAAAGTGGATGAAGTTGAGGTAAAGATGTAATTGACTGCTATTCATTCTATGTTCTGTTGTATGATGATGCTTGGTGTAGCGTTGCAATTTGATGTGTAGATGATTTATACTTCTTGAAGGTGGTCAGCAAACTGTTCCGGTCGTGATTTTGAATCCAGCGCATCTTTTACTCTCTTCAGGTTGATGCGGTTTAATATTTTGTTGGGGTGGATGGGGACGTGACTCTGTGTCAGTTCTTGTAAAGACTGTGTTCGCGCTTCCTTGGGAGTTTCACAAGGTAGCCGTTCATGCAGTCTGCAAGTATTTTCTCTTTCTTTCTCCTAAAGCTTCTGCAACATGTCCGCTGTTGTCTTTGCTTCTGTTTTCAGTGCTTCTGACGGAATTCTCTCTGTTCTTACGGCTTTCCTGAGTTTCAGCAGTTTTATGGCGTTTAGGACTTCTGCTTTTGTTGGAGGGCTTGTATTCACTGGTAGTTCTGTGAATGGGATGCTGGTGGTATTCTTCATGAGTTGCAGGTGGTGGTGGTCGCCTCAAGAGTTTTCCGAAGTGGTCACCCTATTGTCACATTTTTTCTCCTCTTTGATAACTAGGTTTCCTTCACTATTTTTCATTGGTTTCATCTGTGTTGATTTCTTCCCTGATAGTAACCTGGTTATTTGATATAATGTTGTCAGGTTTCTCCTGCCTCTAGCATGTTCTGCCTCACTTGCAAGTGTCTTTTCACACATTCTTCTTCCCTTCTTTGTCCAGTGTAGAGTTTTATGCAGGTTTCCTCGGAGATGTTGCCCAGTGTCTCCCAACATTGTACCCTGAGAGTATCTTTTTCTAATTAATGGTACCTTTGTGTTAGATTGAAACACCTTTAGATTCTGGTCTATGAAAGTGGTTTCCAGCTAGAAACTTGTTAACATCACAGTTACTTGGGAGTTGAAAAACAACACAGCTGTGAGAAGTGTCAGCAGGGACCCCACAATTTGCAAATTGTTAGCTTTTGTTTTGTTCAAGAATATATCTCATGAGTATAACTCAAGCTTCCAGTTTGATTTATACCTAATTAAATTTTGAGGGAGCTAACAGAAGTTGGAAATATGGAGCATTGGATTCTGACCCAGTGGCTCAATGGTAACGCGCTGGCCGCGAAAACCTGAAGGTCGCGGGTGCGCACTGCTGAGGAGTCCCTTACTAGGACGAAACAACTGTCCATTGCTCCCAGGTTTCCTTTGTTCCTCCAACTGATGTCAGTCTTCGATGAATAACAACTTGAAATTATACCTAATCACTAAACAAAATCTTTTTTTTTCAGTATGGTCTTCTGTTTGGTGGCCATTACTTGGTGTTACACTTGAATTGGCAAGTTTAGCTGTTGTATTCGCTTTTTTCGATATTGTCGTCGACAAAGAGTAAGATATGGTGTTAGTAATGATGGTGTTGAGACTGTTGGTTCATTTGGTCGTTCACGTCTACTTGAAACAGAAATGGATACTGATCAAGTTGAAATGAAAGTAACTAATCCTTCTTCATCTGTTACCTCATCGATTGGTTTACTTACACATGGACCAATTCCTTATATACGTTTATCCAATCAAAATATTGATCAAGTGGAAAGTAAACATACTACTAACAATACATCTAGTAGTCATTATACAAATAAAACTATTTCAAATCATTCTTTAACTGATGGATATATTAATGCAAATTTACTTCAAGATCCTGTTGATGCAGAAGTTGAAGCAATGGCTAATGTACAGAATCTACAAAGTGAACGTGATCTAATTGATGATGATTATTTCTGGGATTCTGATACTGGCAATAATGAGGATAAGCAAACAAAGTCGGCAGTTTAAAATATTTTCCTAAATGCAATTTAGAGAATTCTGTAAGTTCCCTCAATTTTTCTCCATATCTGTGTGCTTATTAATGAAAAATCGCGGTCAAGGTTTTGTGTAAGCTGTGGTTCACGTCGGTATTCGTCAGGAACTGACAGTAATTGTAGAGTACTGGACAACTGTTCCATTTTAGTGTAAGGCTTACTAGCAGTGAATGCGCATGACATCACAATGGATTGAAAGTAGTATACTCTCGATTAGCAGCGAACAGAATTCTGTTGGCATATGGGCTTTTCGATTCTATTGAATAGTTAACAGTGTAACTAACTTGATAGTGACTAGCAGTGTAATCCAAGACGCGCTTTTTGTCTTATATGTGATTAATTAGTCAGCTTAAGGTTAATCCCTCCGGGACTCAAACCTAGTACCCATTGGTTCAAACTTCAAAAGTTGTCCACTGAGCCATTGGAGCACAAAGTGCAACAAGTGGATTTCCATACAGTATCCAGACATGTGCATGGGATCCCATCTATCAACATAGGTCGATTCAGGGTATTATTAAACAGAAAACATTTTACATTGTATGTTTTAGTCTTTCAAATGGTATGTAATATACAGTTATGAGAAGTGAAATAATTGGTAGATATTGAATATGGTGAGCAGTGGATGATTACTTCACTGGAGTTTTTAAGTCACTGCAAAAACTTCCTCTGTGACTACACGTGATATTCAGTCTAGAAGTCATGATTTGACTCACAGACTAGATCGTAATGCTAAGAGGATTGAAAGGAAACAGTTAACTTGTGAACAGTTAACAGGGGGAAGGACTGAAGCCTGTTGTCAATTTGCTCTTGTAAATTGGACGAATTAGCTAAGCCTTATGATTTATTACGATTATTTGTCTCTTGGGCTCCTAGTGGAACATACGGCTTCAGTAGTAAGTCTCCATTCCACTCTGTTCTCTGCAGTCATTTCAGACTGGCTCCACAACAGCCCAGTAGCTCTAATTTCTTCATCACATGATCTCCTCCATGTCACCCTCAGCTCAGACGACTAACTCATCGTTTCCTATTTGGCTTCCCCTCGACGACCTGGCCTGATGTTCTAAGTCGTCTTTCTCAGTTCATGCCCAATCCATATCCACTTCCTTCTACTGCATATTTGTTCAGCGATAGGTTCTTGGTTGGTTCGTAGGCAGCCAGCCACAGTTCCTTGTTGATTAATCTTATTATTTTGGCTATCTCATCTTTAGTATCGAGCGTAGACAAAAGCTATTCATGTGATGAATGTCTGTAGTTTTTTGGAAATACTTTTCGTAACACCCCAAGTTTCTGAACTATACATAACATAGAAGCAGTGACTTGACTGAATTGGTGTTGAAAATCCGTATCTTCTTCTTTATGCTGAGTGCAGTAGATCTCAACACTGCTTTCAGGTTAATCAACGTCTGTCTTGCTGTCTTTCCGATCCTGGCTGCTATGACTTCCTCGTCTGTGCCTGTGTCGCCTGTAGTTGAAACGATGCTGCCTAGGTAGGTGTAGGTGAAACAGGCTACTTCCTTTAAGTTTCTCTTGTTGATGGTGATTGGAGATTGTTGTTGTTGTTGTTGTTGGTGGTGGTGGTGACGTTGGCTGGGTATCATCATCACCCATCTTCTCGACGTTTACTTGAAGTCCCGTCTTCGGCTGCCCTGCCTCTTCTGTCAACTTGTTAGTTTTTGCCTGTAGATCTTCAAATTTGTGTGACATTAGACACAAGTCATTGGCAAAATCCAAATCTACGATCTTTTCCCTGGTTCAGCTAGAGTATCCCCCTCTTCTCTCTCTCACTGTTTGTTGCATGATCCAGTCGACCACAATCAGGAATATCATGGGTGATAATAGACAGCCTTATCTTACTCCTGACTTTACTTCAAAGGCATCACTGAGCTTTCTACTGTGAATTGTTTATGATTTACTTATACTTATTATACAGTGGTGAGTTCTTTGATCACTAACATAATGTTTCTTGTGTTTATCGTTTCTGTGAGTTTTGTGATTCGAGATGTGAGGTTGTCAACTAACTTTGCAGATTCGTTTCCATAGGGTATCAAATTAAGCAGAAGAAGTGAAGGGACGTGAAAGAATCCGATAATGAGATTATGTTAAAATTTCAAGAAAATACTACTGATTAGAAACATCACAATGTACCAAGATGGAATAACATTTCAACAGTAGTCTTATTGCTTGTATGACACTGTCGTTGATTAGGTCGAATTGATCTGTCTGTGTTGGTATATGGGCTCCTGTGCGGATGCCTCGATATTGCCTGTGTTCTAATTATGTGTAGTAATGATGGGCAGTAGCTAGCAGTAGAATCCAGGATGCGCACTTCATCCTATTTGGTACATCCGGCTGACGAGTCCCAGATGGGACGAAACCCGCACCCTAGATTCCACTGCTAGCCACTATTCATCATCACTATACATTTCAACAGTAGTCTTGATATTATCAATACACTTTTCTGAAAGAAAAGAGATATTAAAGAGAAAAAGGAAAATGCCAACCAACCAGAATAAACTTTGTAAAAAACTTCCCTCCTTCTCAAAGACTTCAATGAAATTGAACTCTAATTGTTTATTTGGTACAGAAAAAAAAATTGAATATTGCGGTTAAAAGATAAAACTATAATTTAAAGTGGGATGTACCGTTAATTGACGGATGAATGTATATGAGAATGAGAGCAGAATTGAACAAAAACTTGACTTATGATAGATTATGTACCATTAAGCTTTCACTTATTATCTGAAGCCTAACTGACAAGTATTGAAGATTCACTGTAACCAAGACTATCTAAGATAATCTAACTAGTTAGCTGTTCATCAGCTTGATTTGAAGTTTAGACAAGATGCCTCGACTGTAAATCTTGTGCAGTGCAATGAAATACAATACAGACAGTCAGTCAATCTGCATTAACATGACGCCTGGGATCACTGCGCAGAGATGCAAGTTGGTACAGGTTACATCATCACATCAAAGAACGAGGCAATAAGATGAAGAGATAAAGAAGAGTTACCTGAAAACAGATACGTCTGTTCTATTCGGATTGATTCGGAACCATATCACCTAAAGTCTCTAACAACGGATTTCGGTTATTATGTAGGCTCTAGTCAGAGAGTTGACATTTCTCTAATGATGAAAGACCTAAAGATTTGTGGATACAAGTTAGGTGGACATCAAAGGCCTGGGAACACTGGAACACTCCAACAGTGTACACTAGTGACTCTACCAGCGCCCCATGATCAGTACGTTGACACTTAGCTACTGGTGACTAGCTCCGACAAGAATTTTCGGAGTGTTACTGAGAAGTCATGACCAGTTGAACATGATGACGACGTTGAACGGCGGTCGCGCATGTTTTGAACCGGATTCCAACCAGGTAACATGCTGGCCACGGAACCTGTAGGTTTGAATTCGATCACTGGTAGGGTGGGGTCACGGGTGCGCACTGCTGAGGGATCACATAGTAGGACGAAACAGTGCAGTTCCTGCAACCCTTAATAAGCTATCAGATGTCAAAAGAATGCAGTGACTTGTATATCTTTTATCCATGTGATAGAATTGTGAAATATTCAATGAGTAAACTGTGACTGAGACTTTGTTGTCAGTAGAATGGTAGAAGAGTAAGCAGGTGACCTCAAGTTCACCTTTATATATGTCTCTGACAGTTTCATGTTTTCATTAGAGTTATAGCATCATGGTATTGTTTGACCGTTCAATGTTAAATAGTTGAAGGTAATCAGACAAAAATCTTGATCAGCCTAGGTTTTCTTACTTACCGGTACTGAAAGATATGATATTACTTCACACGGACTCGAACTAGTATCACCAAGTAGTTAATATTGAGTTATTCGGGCTTTAAATGAACTCCTTCATTGTCTTGCCCTGGATTATGTAACATATGTTTATACAACTACTGATATAAAAGGTTAAGAATTGTTTATTTTAAAATTTAGACTAGATTGTCAACTAGATTATCATCTCCAGAAACACATTACAATTGATTCTATCTATGGCTGTTGAAAATGAATAATTATTGTTTAAAGATAACAAACAGTCTTGATGAAAAGTGGTAATTAGTGAAATATTCTACCATATTCAAAACATTATAAAAAAATGATTGAATAAATATCCATCCTTCTACAAGAATTATACTTTGTACATTCAAACTTTGTTCGAAAATCATGTTTTATATTTTGTTATCTATACTACATTAAAAGTGTCAGTTGATTAAGTAAAACAAAACAAAACATTTCATTGGTTCATACTGAACCCGCTTCAACCAATCATTTAATTCTCTTATGTTGCTATTGGATACAGTTGACAATAAATAAATAAATGTTTCATATTTGTTTTAAACGTGTGTACAATATTCAATGTTCAATTTTGGTTTGTTTAAATATTGACTGATAAATATTGTTAGGCGAACAAATTAAGTTGAAAAAAATTAACTAGAAAATGATGATAATTTTGATTGTATATGCATGGTTTATTAGTTAATATAATTTGATCATACTTTTCCATTCCATGTTGTTTGTTTTATTGAACATTGAATAATGTGTACATTAAAAAAAAAAACAATCCATTTACTTACTGTTATGTAATAACACTGTAATATCTGTTCATTCTATTTCAAGGTATCTGCTAACGGTGCATTTATTCTGAGATATCGTAAAGATGGTTAACCATCAATACAAAAGTTGATCATATATCCTTTATGATTTCAGTTATATTCATCTGGTTTTCTTTTCAGCTTTCTTCTTTCATTTCTTTTTCAAGAAACGTTCTGTTCTTGTTTCTTTTCTGCTATTATTGATCTAAATGTCTTGTTATTGAATTATTATTATTATTGTTGGACTAATAACTTGAAGCCCTTCTGACTGATAAATTACTTTGGTTTGAGGTGAACAGAAATTTGTTTATCATTTTGTTTTCCATTGAACAACAAGTTGGCAAGAGCTTTCGAAATATACCAAGTTTTCATTGAACTAATCTGGTGACTACATTATAAAATGGTTGCTAGAATTTGGTCAGCACTCAGGAACTGAGTAGTTATTCCGCTTAGCTTAGTTATAACGTCACTGACTGCAGCAATCAGTTACAGGGGATTGTATCTTAGGCAAGACATCAGTTCCGTGGAGGTCGACGATCCGCTAATCAGAGAAAGTACCACAAAGCACAAATCCCAGATAGAGCATATTATCCTATCGATTGCCTACAACCGACTAAAATGACTCTATAGACTGATTGTTGATTCGACAACTTGAGATGACCTTGACCTTGTAGGCTGATAACAAAGCAAATAAGTAGTGAGTGGAGGTGGTAGGAATTTTAAACAACTATGTGCAAATCAAATTGCAAAGCTACGCTACACAAAATCATAGAGCAGAGTATAGAATGGCAGTCAACTCTCTTCCTCAACTTTATCGACTTTGAAAATGCATTCGACAGCGTCGACAGTGAAGTAATTAGGCAGTTGCTTCAACACTACGGAGTGCCACAAACCTTTATCAAACTCATTCAACACCTATATGGTGATGATGATGATGCTACATGCCAAGTGACTGACAATAGAATGCTCAGTAACACCTTTGAAGTGAAGACAGGAGACAGGAGTAAGACAAGGCTGCCACCTACTACCACCGATAATTTTCCTGATTATGGTCGAATGCATCATGCAGCAAACTGTGAGGAGCGAGAAGAAGCGCATATACTGGCTGAACCGATCATATGATCCTAGAAAATTTGCATTTCACCACCGATGATGATTTATATCTAGTGTCTCGTCACACAAATTCGAAGATCTACAGGCAAAAACCAACAAGTTGACAGAAGAGGCAGGGCAGCAAACGAAGACTGGGCTTCAAGTGAATGTAGAGAAGACGGAGGTGATGATGATACCCAGCCAACGTCACCACCACCACCAACAACAACAACAACAATCTTCAATCACCATCGGTAGAGGAACTTAAAGGAAGTAGCCTCTTTCACCTACACCTATCTAGGCAGCATCGTTTCAGCTACAGGCGATGACGGCACAGACGAGGACGTCAAAGCCAGCCAGGATTGGAAAGACAGCAAGACAGGCATTGATTAACCTGAAACCAGTGTGGAGATCTACTGCACTCAGCATAAAGAAGAAGATACGTGTTTTCAACACCAATTCAGTCAAGTCAGTGCTTCTATGTGATGGTTCAGAGACTTGGGGTGTTACGAAAAGCATTTCTAACAAACCACAGACATTCATCAACAACTGCCACCTACGCTCGTTACTGAAGATCAGATGGCTAGAAAGAATCGATTAAATCAAGGATAGAACTGCAAATGTATTTCCTTTCACTCTTATACAACCAATGATAAATCTGTTCTCCTATACATGTTGACAACCGTCTCTGACTATAGCCAATATATTTTGTTCTACATGTGCAGGTGTACTGATAGATATACATAGTGGTGGCCTGTTGAGGGATATTGTCTTTTATACAAACGGAGAACAATTTACGACTACTAAATGTTAAATCCTTTTTGGCTGCGATAAAGATTCTAACAACTGGAAAGACAATTTTTCAGGATGTCTGATGTTATATCACCTTTAATTTGCAAATTCATGAACAAAGTCTGATAACAGATGTCTTTCTTGTATATTCTTATCAACAAATTGGCTAAGATAGTTGTTTTCCGCAAGTGTTCGTCTTAAAAGGTCAAGTTCAACTTGAACACAATCTATGCTACAAATAATTAGAATTCGACAGCAGAGTGAGTGAATGAGCTTTCTTTTCCTCATGGAGGAGAACATTTGTAGCTCAGATGGATAGTCTTGGTTGTATTGTGTTCTCTGAGGAGGTGGATTGTTTAATTGTGGAGACGCTTTCATTGTCTTTCTAGACACTGACATCATCAGTGCTAACTTCAGTATGAAGTGAGCTGTCAATATCTCTCCCTGACTGAGTGATTTAGTAGGTGCCTACCTGGGCGAACTGGTTTGTGTGTGATTGTTTGTTTCCTTTGATTGCTGTGTCACCGAATGACTGTATAGATTTTCCTATTGGCTGTCTCTCTGCTTGGCCTCTTACGTTTCTGTCGTTCATCATCTTTCTAATTGGTTTGTAGATTGGGTCTGTGTCTACACATCTGTTGATTGCTGACTGACTCACCTGAATTCCAAGTTTCTAGAAATTCTCTGATGAAGACGAAGAGTGAAGTGGTCGCCTTCTTCACCTTCGTCTACATCAACACCAATTGGCTATTAAACTTCACACATGACATTTCATCACTCATTTCAATCCACGTGGATAACAACTGTGCACACGAATTCAATTGTGACAATGTAGAAATCTTGGATGGAGAGAGGAGACATAATGAACATCAGAGAATTCCTAGATGCTTGGCATTCAGGTCGGTCAGTCAGTTAACAATCAACATATGTATAAACATAGACTCAGTCTATCAATCAATGAGAAAATCGATAAACGATTGGCAGGTCAGAGGTGAACCAGAGGAACAGCCAATAGAAAATCTATACAGTCAGTCAATGACACAACAATCAAAGGAAACAACCAATCACACACAAACCAGTTCGCCCAGGTAGGCACCTACTAAATCACTCAGTCAGGGAGAGATATTGACAGCTCACTTCATACTGAAGTTAGCACTGATGATGTTGGTGTCTAGAAAGACAATGAAAGCGTCTCCACGACTAAACAACTCAGCTCAGGGAACACAATACAACCAGTGTTATCCACATTTATATTTCAGTCACATATAACGAATATATCATCCATGTATCTTTTGTAGACGCTAAAGTGAATAACATTTTGGTTAAGATTAAAATTTTCCAATTTTGATACAGACAATTTTGCTATTAAAGGCCCCATTGAGAACCCCATAGAAATTTCATTAATTTAACCGGTATACCTCATCATCGAAACTAAATTAGGCATTAAAAATACATTTCATCAATGACAGGATAGGTTTACTCATCAGATCAGCAATCTTAAGTGTAATTATACACCAGTTAACGAAAAAGACCTATTGAGTTATAACCAAGAAGAGGGACTATTTGACAAGGTATAATTTCCTTTATTATGGTGTATATCATTCACCTAAAACTGTAAAAACGTATGTAAATCAATCGAAATAGATAAGGCGCCATTTATGAATGCTGAGTGAAGACTGAAGGTGACAAAAGAACATGAATCATGTCAGGAATCGAACTATCAGCATCTGGGTTACTAACCTGTCCTTGCATAGACTGAGCTGCGATAGGTTGTCAGGCTAATAACCTGGAGGCCACTTGTTCGAGTTCTGTTGTGACCATAACATGAGTCTACAAAGATACGGCCACCTTAGATTATTTATTATTATTATTATTATTTTTCCTTGGGTTCCTAATGGAACATAGGGCTTCACTAGCACTTCTCCATTTCACTGTTTTCTCTCCAGTCTTTCCAATCTGGCTCCACCAGTGTCCCAGCCTTTCATTTCTTCCTGACATCATCTCCTCCATGTCACCTTTAGCTGAGACGTCCAACTCGTCGTTTCCCTTTTTCGATTCCACTTGAGGGCCTGGCCCGTGACGTCTCCAGTCGGCCTTCTCAGTGTATGCCCAGTCCATCTTCACCTCCTGCATATTTATTAGGTGATGGGTTCTTGGTTGGTTCGCTGCCAGAGTTTCTCGTTGCTTATTCTCATTATTCTGGCCATCTGATCTCCATCTTTAATATAGAGTGAGCGTAGACGGCAGCTGTTCATTTTATGAATGTCTATAGTTTTTTGTTGGAAATGCTTCTGGTGACGAGCCAAGTCTCTCAACCATCACATAGAAGCACTGACTTGACTGAATTGGTGTTCAAAATCCGGATCTTGTTTTTTGTGCTGAGTGCAGTAGATCTCCACACTGATTTCAGATCAATGAAAGCCCTTCTTGTTTTTCTAATCCTGGCTTTGATGTCCTCATCTGTGTCTGTGCCACTGCCTGTAGTTGAAACGACGCTGCATTGATAGGTGAAAGAGACAACTTCCTTTACATTTCTTCCGTTCATCGTGATTGATGCTTGTTGTTGTTTTTAGTTGGGTATCTTCATCACCAGTGTCTTCCCTACGTTCACTTGAAGTCCGGTCCTAGCAGCCTTTTCTATCAACTTGTTGTTTTCACATTAGACATTAGACACAATTCATCCTCATCGGTGGTGAAATTTAAATCTTCTAGGGTCATTTCATCGGTCCAGCTAGCCTATGCCCACCTTCTCGCTTCTCACATTTTCTTGTATTATCCAGTTGAGTCGATCACAATCAGGAAGACGATCGGTGGTAGTAGGCGGCAGCCTTGTCTTACTCCTGCCTCCTGTCTTCACTTCAAAGGCACGATTGAGCTTTCTATTGTCAATCACTTGGCATGTAATATCATGTAGCATATAGCTGGTGTTGAGTGAGTTTGATAAAGGTTTGTGGCACTGAGACCGTACCGGTGAAGTAGCTGCCTTTCAAATTAATTCTCGGTCGACGCTGTCGAAGGTCTTTTTCAAAATCGATAAAGTCGAGATAAAGATCCAGCTGATTTCAGCACTGAAATCCAAAATGGTTGTTTACTCATATTTTGAACTCGTCAGCTGGATGTACCTACCTCTCAGTGAGCGATGTTGTTGTCATTAAGACTTCAAACCAAGATCAATTACTTCAAATGCCAGAGCGATCAATTCGGTCTATTCAACAATTGGATAATGCAAGCAACAGAAGTGGCTATCATGATTCGGTGGTTTTGTAGATAAAGCTCTGATGTTTGGATTAAGTCTTCGTAGTTATAATATCGCCCACTGGGAGGCAAGTGAATTCGGTTGACGAGTCCTAAACATAACGAAAATCGCATCCTGGATACCTCGACTAGTGACTGGCCAAAATTTGTACTAGTAAGAAGACCAGGAAAGCTATTCAACAAAGTGAAATATTTTTCCCAAACGTTTTCACCTATTTGGTAATATGTTGTATGGGAAATCGGTTTCTCATTGTAACATATTTATCTGAAATGGTTAGTATAAAAGTGATTGAGTACTACTCAAGCCTAAAAAATTAATATGATCGAATTCCAACCTAGTGTAGATTAGAAAAGACGATCAGACTATCTGAATAGCATTACAAGATACATAGTTCAGTTCTCTCGACTGAGAAGTATGCCGGTAACTGCTTCAACATTATGGATTAGGGTTAGGTGTACCACAAACCTTCATCAACCTCATTCAACACATATACGCTATGTGATGATACATGACAAGTGATTCACAATGGAAGGCTCACTGATGTTTTTGAAGTGAAGAGGCGAGTAGGATAAGGTTGCCGCCTACTGTCACCAATCATCTTCCTGATTATGGTCAACTCGACTGGATCATGCAACAATCAACTATGAGGCGCAGAGACAGGCGTACGCTGGCTGCACCAATGAAATGACCCTAGAAGATTTACATTTCACCGCTGATGATGATCACTTACGTCTGATGTCTTCTCACACAAAGTTGAAGATCTACAGGCGAAAACTAACAAGTTGGTGGAAGTGGCGAGGAGAGGCGAAGCGAGGCAACGAAAGAGGACAGGACTTCCTTCACGTGGATGTAGAGAAGATAGGGGTGATGAAGATACCCAACCAACAACAACAAGCATCAAACACGATGAAACGGAGTAATGTAAAGGAAGTTATCTCTTTCACCTAACTACCTATGCAGGGCAGCATCGTTTCAACTACAAGTGACGGCGGCACAAGGACAGAGATGAAGATGTCAAAGCCAGCCACGATTAGAAAAACAACAAGACAGGCCTTCCTGCATTTATCTGAAACCAATCACTGTGAAGATCTACTACACTACACTCAGCATAAAGCGAGAACAACATACACATTTTCAACACAAATGTCTGTCAACTAAGGCACTGATTCCATGTGATACTTTACAGACTTAGCACGCTGAGAAAAGCATTTCCAACAAACTGCACACATACATCACATGAACAGCTGCCACATACACTCACCCAGTACTGAAGATGGAGATCAGATGATGAGAGTGATGAGAATGTGCAAAGAGGAAGTCTGGTCTGCTTGACAATGAAGCAACCAACGGAGTAACAACCTATCACCTGACAAGTAGACAGTAGAATAGAGTGGAGATGGATTTGATTGAAGATAGACTGAGAAGATGGTTTGGCGATATCACTCACCAGGCGAAGCCCGATCAGGTTATCGAGTGGACGAGTTGGGCGTGTGACCTGAGGATGATATGTAGGAGATGGTGTTAGTAAGAAATGATTACAGTTTGTGGGTAGTGGTGCAGCCAGGTTGAGAAGACTGAAGAGAAAATCTGTTAAAGTCAAATAAATTTTTATTCAATTATATTCAGTAAATATTTATTTACAAAATAAACTACTTTTTTTTGTATACAATAAAAATTATTCTTCTTCATTTGTCCATGAAAAACGTCGATACCAACCTTGATATTTATCACCAGCTAAATATTTAGTAAAAATAATATTTTCATCAGTTAAATTGAATACTCTTTTCAATATATTCAATATAAGTGTTTCAATATTATACTGTAACCATCTTGGTGTATAACCATCACGTGATGAACGTGATATACTAATCACATTCGGTTGATAAGGGATTGATAAAAGAATTTGTGTAAATTGTACTCCTAATTGTAATAAATCATTTGATGTCGGTATAAATTCTTCAACTAATGATGCATTCGGTATATTATGACCTATGCATAAATGTATTTCTGGTATATACTGATGGGTTAATAATGAATTTGTAAAGCAGACACCTACACGTGTTATTGCATTAAATTGTCTATGAGTAATTGAATTATTTATAAATAATTCATTTAATTTTTGTAAATTCAATAAATAATTATAACAGAATAAATCATTTATATGAAGATTTTTATTGGTTTTTGTTACAATTTTATTCAATGTATAACCTTGAATTGGTGATGACCTTGAATAATAATTTGAATGAAGGTAGACTTTTTCAAGTAGCCAACGAAATATTTGATCAATGTCCAATTCATTTATATTTGATAATGGACAAAATATAGATGATATAAGATTATTTAATGTATATATAAAATTTATTGTTAAACCTGTTTTAAGTAGACTACGTGTAACAAGATGTACACCGAAAAAATCTTCATCAATATCAAGTATTAATGGATGATGATGATGATGATGTTGTTGTGTTCGATGAACATGGGGTGATGGAATAGTATTAGGTGATGATACAAAATCAGACATATTTAACAGTTTATTCAATGACCAATTTTTTGAATAACGTAATATATTTGAAGCTGTACGTGAATTTAATTCAGCGTAATGATATATCCATGTTTTTGAGCATTTATCAATGGATAGGAATATATCAGTTAAACTGTTGTCTTGTCGACGTGTTTTACAGTTCTGTTCATCATCATCTTCATTATTATCATCAATTTCAAGGCACATACAAACTTGTTGAGTATCATTTATTGATATGATGCCTAAACTTGATGTGTAAGCATAACTAGTGTTAAATGTCCAATATGGATAAATAATGTATACACTTTGAATTAGATTTGCAATTATTGCACTCTAAAATATGAGAAGAAAGAATTCTGTTTCTAAGAGGAAAACATATATGATTAGAACAAGACATATAAGCGAACAATATTGTTTACAATTAGAACCTCTTCAGGCTTTACTCCAATACAAATAGCTTATATACACAAAGTAACAAGTTAGCAGAACAGGCAAGGAGAGGCTAGGCGAGGCAACGAAGGAAGACAGGACTTCCTTTACGTGAACACAGAGAGGTCAGAGGTGATGAAGATAATCAATCAGTAACAACAACAGCAACAAGCACAAATCACCATGAACGAGAGAAATGTAAAGGAAGTTGTCTCTTTCACCTACCTGCCTACCTACCTACCTACCTAACTACTTGTCTACATAGGTAAGGCAGCATCACTTCAACTACAGGCGGTGGCGGTGTCACATATGAGGATATCAGTGCCAACCGGGATTGGAAAGACAGCGTGACAGGCATTCCTGCATTAATGAATGGGGAGATGTACTGCACTACACTATACTCAGCATAGAACGTGAACAAGATCCGGATTTTCAACACTACTTCAGTGAAGTAAGGCAGTGCTTGTATGTGATGGTTGAGAGAGTTGGCGAGTTACGAAAAGTATTTCCAACAAACTACAGATGTACATCGCATGAACAACTGCCGCCTACGCCCACTCAGTACTGAATATAGAGATCAGACGGCGAGAAGAATGCGAATAAGAAAGGAGCTCTGGTCGGCCTGGCAACGAGCCAATCAACCGAGAACCAATCACCCGACACATATGCAGTAGAATAAAGTGGAGATAGACTGGATTTGATTGAACATAGACAGAGAAGATGGTTTAAGGAAATCACGCTTCAGGCCAGTTCAGGTCATCGAGTGGAAGCCAAATGTGAAAGGATGAGTTTAGCGTGTAAGCCGAGGATGATATGAAGGGGATGGTGTGGGGAAGAAATGAAAGCAGTTTGTGGGCAGTGATGCAGCCAGGTTGAAGGAACTGAAGAGAAGAGAGTGAAATGATGACGTGCTAGTGAAGCTCTATGTTCCACTAGGAACCAAAGGGACATATATATATATATATATATATATATACTGGGTGATAATTGAAGGTGAGATGAAAATTTTGACAGCAGCCGGATTCGAACCTGCGACCACCGGTGGTCCACACAGCTCCGGATGGAAGTAATAACTTTTTGGTTAGTTTTTTTTCTTTCACCCTGCCTATTTTCCACCTGTTTTCGCACTTTTCATCTCCATTTGTTTACACGTTGTCCACCTACTCACCTCGTCCTTTAGTATTACGCAACTTTTATTTTCCCAAATAAGCTTTGAACCCACATTTATTTCCCAGACTGTCTACACTTCCGTACTTCTTTCAGGGTTCTTATCATCATCATTATCATCATGTATATTGTATACGCTTTAGTTGTCGGTATCCCTTTTATTATTCATTATGGTTATTCTTGAAACACACTGAAAACATACGATGTCACACCATATTCAAAATACATTGAGTAAAGGTTGCCGTGCTGACTAGGGTGTCTATATTGATACAGACACGTCCGCCAGCAAAAGACTAGTAGTCATTCTTTCGTTTAAAAGTTTATTGTAAAATATGGAAACGATAACTTTAGCGTTGTTTAGCTTCACTTTTAACAAGATAATCTTTGTAATCATTTGGCCAATGGATTGGATCGAATTGAACAACCTGTTCTATTGTATGGGCTGCTATGCCTTAGTGGCTTAATGAATAGCACTTAAATGTTTGAAGTGATGGTTACTACGTTCCATTGTCATTGGGATGGAGTTGAAGAGTCCAGTATGGGACGAAATTCATGTCTTCGACTACACTGCTAGTCACCACCAAACAAATGATAACTTAATGAATCTTTAGAGGATATTATGGGTATCTGTTCAACTAGCCAATATTCTGATATAGATTGATCACTTCGATCCGATATAATGATAGAAAATTCGAAGTATTATCTTTTGCTAAGGCAAGTAAAGTTTACTTCTGTTTCCTTTTGTTTGCTTGTCATGCCCACACACACAACAGTGAATTCCTTTCAACGGAATCATTTTTTTTTGTTGCTATGTCTAGTGTTTAGCCCATTTCTTGTGTTACTATTACTTAGAGGTACGTAGGTTTCTACCAAAAATGACATTTTGATATACGATCCATATAGTGTGTTGATATTTTACTCTGGTTAATTTTCTATATTGAAAAATCTGCCTACACATAGAATTTATGTAAGTCTAGGTGAAAAAAGAAAATAGATAAACAATAGCATAAGTAGACATTTGATTCCCTCATACTTTTCACTATCAATAAACTAATTAATTAATTGTAACATTTATTTCATGTTATCACCAAGAGGAATTTTATTATCAGTATTCTTACAATCATCATCATCATCATCTTCACCACCAATAATCTGAAGAAAAAGGGATTAACAATAACAAAATATTACTGATAATAATTTCTACACAGTTGAAATGTTGAACATTTAAATTCAGTCAGACTAGTCAACTGGAAAGTGACTCTAATAATCGATAAAAGGGCAAAAAAGATCACACTTATTCTATAGTTAAATTAATTAACAGCCAATCATATACTAGATATAAGTGGGCCTAATTCTGATTGGTTAGTTTAAACTATGTACAAATCAATACAATCTAAAATTATTAATATTATTAGTATATTATATGAATATCTGTCCGAGAGCATAGAATGTCAGTTAACTCTCTACCTAAACTTCATCAACTTTGAAAAGGCCTTCGATAGCGTCGATACAGAAGTAATTTGACAACTGCTTCAACACTACAGTCTTAGTAATTCAAACCTATATCAACCTCATTCAATGACTATATGAAGACGCCACATATCAAGTGATCCACAATGAAAAGCTAAATAATGCCTTTAAAGTGAAGACAGGAGTAAAACAAGGCTGCTTACTATCACCCATCATTTTCCTGATCGACTGGATCATGCAAGAGACCGTGAGGAGCAAGAAGAGGGGCATACTCCAGCTGCACCGATGAAAACAGCCTAGAAGATTTGGATTTTGCCAATGACTTCTATCTGATGTCACACAAACTTGAGGATCTACATTCGAAAACTAACAAGTTGACAGAAGAGGTAGGGCAGTGAAGACGGGACTTCAAGTGAACGTCGAGAAGATGGAGGTGATGAAGATACTCAACCACCACCACCACCACCAACAACAACAACAACAAGCTCCAATCACCATCAGTGGGAGAAACTTAAAGGAAGTAGTCTGTTTCACCTACACCTACCTAGGCAGCATCGTGTTTTCAACACCAATTCAGTCAATTCAGTGTTGCTTTGTGATGGTTGAGAGACTTGGCGCGTTACGAAAAGCATTTTCAGCAAATTACAGATATTCATCAACAACTGCCCTTACGCTCAATCGATACTGAAGATCAGATTGCCAGAATAATGAGAATAAGCAACCAGGAACTCTGGAAACGAACGAACGAAGCAAGAACCTATCGGTCAACAAATATGCAGTAGAAGGAAGTGGAGATGGATTGAGCATACACTGAGAAGACCTTTCGGGTACATCACGCACCAGGTCAGGCACTTGAGTGGAACCCGGATAGGAAACGACAATTTGGTCCTCTGAGCCGATGGTGACATGGAGGAGATAGTGTGAGGAAGAAATGAGAGCTTCTGGGCAGTTGTGGAGCCAGGTTGAAAAGATTGCAGAGAAGAGAGTGAAATGGAGACGTTCTACTGAAGCTGTATGTTCCACTAGGAGCCCAAGGGACAAATAATAATAATAATATAATAATGTGAATATCTGTCCGCGAGCAGATTAGTCAATTATAAATAACTGCTGAGCATTAAATCCATTCCAGCAGATGAAGTCACTTATAAACATCGAGTCCGTTGCAACTGCTAATGATATTTCACGGAAATATTTCTAAGTAAACAACCAATTAACTAGTTGATACTATTCATCTGAAAGTAAGATATTTTTGAAAATTTCATAGATGGAATTTTAATGTATTGTTCTATAGAGGGATGATGGATTACATAAAGATAGGTTGATGAACCATTTAAAATTAGAAAATGGTCTATGAAGAGAGTATATCGATAGGTATTTGGTCCGCCTGTTGATGAAACAGAAGTAAACCAACAATTGAACTGAAGACATTTTCACTTTAAAGTTCATTTTACATAAAGTCAGTTAATCAATCTGTTTGGTGATTTGTTTACTAAATCCATTGACTTGATGCTACGATTCTGTGTGCATTTTGTCTTAAGGAGTTGATTGGTAGCTAACTCTGAATATAGGCTTTGCTTCTATGAAATCACCGATGATTCTTAAGGAAGACAAGACTCAACTTCAAGGTGTTATTTTGGTTTATTCCATATATCGGATATTTGTTAAGGATGGATTTAAGCTCGATTTTCTGTTGTTGTAATGAAAACAAAACTGGGTTAAAGATTCCGCTGATAAATGAGATAACTGACACTAAGAACTCTTAAACAAACACTATCAGAATGTAGAACAATTGTATATTCGTGGAAATGAACTTCTTTCACAACAGCTTGCTGAGGGTAGACAAACCACAAAAGGACGAAAATATTTCTACCCCTAGGCAGGATTGTTTCTACTACAGATGGAACAGGCACAGATGAGGACGTCAGAACCAGGATCAGAAATATAGCAAGACGGGTCTTCCTTCATTAACCTGAAATCAGTGTGGCGATTGACTGCGCTGAGCATAAAGCGTGAACAAGGTCCGGGTTTTCAACACCAATGTCAGGTCAGTGCTTCGATGTGATGGTTGAGAGACTTGGCGCGTTACGAAAAGCATTTCCAACAAACTTCAGACATTCATCAACAGCTGATGCCTACGATGGCTCGATACTGAAGATCGGATAGCTAGAAATAATAAGCAACAAGTAACTCTGGCAACGAACTAATCAAGAACCCATACTCCAATAAATATGTAGAAGAAAGTGGGGATAGATTGGGCATGCACTGAG